TCCCAGCTTTGGGGCTGTTCTGTGCAGGCTCCATGGTCCCTGCCACCACAAAAGGGAGACCTGAGCCTCAGCCTGTGATCCTGAAGCTTGGGCAGCAAAATTTGGGAAGGCTCTAAGGGAAATTTCATCCCTGTGAGGGTGGGGAGGCCCTGGCACAGGGTGCCCAGAGAAGCTGTGGCTGCCCCTGGATCCCTGGAAGTGTCCAAGGCCAGGCTGGGTGGGGCTTGGAGCACCCTGGGCTGGTGGAAGGTGGCACTGGATGGCACTGGATGATCTTTAAGGTCTTTTCCAACCCAATTCCCAGGATTGCATGATTTGAATCGTTGGGTAGTTTTTATTTGCTCCCTGTGTGTTGCTCTCTGCTCACTGACATTCCCTGTCCCTGCAGATCTGTGCCGTGTGCCTGGAGGAGTTCAAGCCCAAGGACGAGCTGGGGATCTGTCCCTGCAAACATGCCTTCCACAGGAAGTGAGTGTGGGCAGGGCTGGGGGCTCTTCCCACCCCATCCCGGGGCAGGAATGGCAGGGGGAGCCCCAGGGGGATGAGCTGGGACAGGGGAGCGGCAGTTTGGGAACTGGAAAAATGATGGATGGTTTGGGGATCTGGGGTTGAACTTGCAGGATGCCCCGTGCTGAGTCTGGCCTTGGTGATCCTCATGGATCCCTTCCAGCTCAGGCTGTAATTCCATGAAAAATGTAAATATATAGATTTTATATAGGCATGGTTCATATAAAGCAAACCCACTGCAATTTATGTTACAACAACAACAACAACAACAACAATAATAATAATAATAATAATAATAATTTCATAACAATATTCCACAATATGTAACAATATATTTATAACAATATATATAACAATATTTTATATAACAATATAATATTCTAGATGCTAAAACTGCATAATATCCTACTATATATTACAGATATTTTTATATTCTCTGTGTATTTATATATACATTATATATATTTATATTTTATATATTACATATTTTACATATTTATACATTTATATATACACTATACAATAGATACTGTATATACCATGTAATATATTTAATATATATTACATAATATGTACTATATCTATGATATGATAGATAATTATATATAATACACATAATAGTATGGCTATATCAGAATTATGTACATAATTTTTTAAAAAATTATTTATACACATTATATACGTGTGTATTATTGGTATATTATTTACAGAGTCTGTGTTTATAATTTCACAGACAGCTTTTATGTATATATTTTGTTTATTTTTGGGTAGGTGTATGCATTTTTATATCCCTATAATATAAATATAAATATAAATATAAATATAAATATAAATATAAATATAAATATAAATATAAATATAAATATAAATATAAGTATAAATACAAATCATATATAAAACCTATCTACACAAAATCCCTGTATACACACAGAGCCCAAAAAGCAAAAATCCCAGTAAAGCATAAAGGCACCCAAATGTTGAATTAAAAACTGGGCATGGGCAAAGCTGCAGGGTGGGGTCGGGGGTTTGGGGGGATTTTTGCTGCTCCCCAGTGATGCCAGGTGTGTCCCCAGTGATGCCAGGTGTCCCCAGTGATGCCAGGTGTCCCCACTGATGCCAGGTGTGTCCCCGCTGTCCGCAGGTGCCTCATCAAGTGGCTGGAGGTTCGGAAGGTGTGTCCCCTGTGTAACATGCCGGTGCTGCAGCTGGCGCAGCTGCACGGGAAGCCGGACCCGGGCCCGCCGCAGGGGCCGCTGCCCGGCTCCCAGAACATCGTATAGTCCCTCCCGGGCCGGGCCCGGCCCGCGCCCGCCCGCGGCGCTCGGACACAACCAAAGCACTTGGGCCGCAGCTCAGCAGCCCCGGATCCTGCCGGGATGAAGCCTGGGCTCGGATCCTCCGCCAGGGCCAGGAGGGGAGCCGGCGTCCTCGGCACGACATCCTTCTTCCAGCACCTCCCGTCTGCAGCCCCGCGGCCGCCGGGAACAGCGCGGCGGCCCCGGCACCTCCTGCTCCCTCCTCTTCGCCTTCGGTTCCTTTGCCTTTGCGGTTCCCACCAGGAAAAGGGGCCTCGCCCCTGGAGTCGTGCTGCGGTTGGGTGTCCCCTCGGCACCTGCTGTCCCCCCGTGGTGGCTGTGCGGCCTCTCCCGGCTTTGGATTTCCCCGCAGCCTCTCGGGGGTGGCTGTCCCTCCTCCTCGGCTACCTCAGGGGCCTGGAGTCCCTGGGAGGGGCCCCATCCTGGCCTCAGCAGCAGCGAGAGCCGTGGCCTGGGGGGGACAGGCAGAATTCCCGGCCTTTGGGGATCATCCCATCGCTTCCAGCCTGGCCCCGGGGGGCTCCGGGCAGCGTTTTCCCTTGCCAAAACACCCCCGTCAGCAGCCGGGGGAGCTGGGCTGCCCCTCGCCTCCCCCAGCACGAGTTTGGGGTGTCCCCCGCCATCCTCCCCAGTCGCATTCCCGGGATTTGGGGGAGGGGGTGTCAGTATTACACGGCAGCGGCTTTCCCGGGGGCAGGGCTGGGGGGGCTCCTGGTGCTGTTCCCCCCTCCCAAAAAACCCGGGACTGTTTATGGAGCGTGGAGCCTCATAGACGTGTTTGTACACTACAAATTCTGCAGCAGAATATTTTTTAAAACATTCGCTGGTTTTGGTTTTTGGTTTGGTTTTTTTTTTTCCTCTGTTTGTTTGGTTTTTTTGTAAGCTCTATTTTTGTATATTTAATTGCTATTTGAAAATTCTAATAATGCGTCTTTTTTGCTAATCACACTCTTCTTAAGGAAAAGCCAGGAAAGAAAAAAAAAAAAACAACAAACAACCAAGAGTTTGCATGTGATTTGACTTGAAATGTAAATAAAAGCAGGTTTTGGAAGTGGGGGTGTGTTTGCAGGGGGCTCTGTCCCCCCGTCCCTTGTTCCCTGTCACCCTGGGGATGTCCCCAGCAGGGGAGGGACCACAGGGCTGGAAGTGGGGCGGGTTGGGGTTCTGTTGTCGATGTCCCCTTGTCCCAGAGCAGAGCCGATGGCGACAGCATCGCATGAGGCCAGGCTGGCTGTGGAGCACCCCAAAACCCTCAGCTAGGAGGGATTTTGTAGGATCCAGGCACGGGTGAGCATCCCTGCTTAGGGAGAGGATATTCCTCCGACCAACCTTCCCAGCCCTAACCCCGGCCCAAAGCCCTAACGCCGACCTCCCGCAGGGTCGGGAGGGATTCAGCTCAGCGCTGTGGGATCCACTCACTCCTCGTCCTCAAGGCTTGGCCAGGCGGGTGAGGAAATGCCCTCGGATTGTGCCCGTGGGGGCGCTGAGCCGCGGTCACCCCAGCGGGTGGAGGAGCCTGGTGTGAAGGGGACACGGGACCCCCCCTCTCCCGTCCCGCTGTCCCCGATCCCAGCCCGGCGCGGGGCTGCTGCCCTCTAGTGCCGGATCCCTCCTGGCCATCACCGAAACCATGGAATCCTTGGGATGAGCAGGAGCTTTATAACCCATCCGCTTTCACCCCCTGCCATGAGCAGGGACACCTCCCACTATCCCAGGGTGCTCCAAGCCCATCCAACCTGGCCTTGGACACTTCCAGGGATCCAGGGACAGCCACAGCTTCTCTGGGCACCCTGTGCCAGGGCCTCCCCACCCTCACAGGGAACAATTCCTGCCCAATATCCCATCTAACCCTGCCCTCTGGCAGTGGAAGCCATTCCCTCAATGTTCTGTTCACCTCCAGCAGAAGGATCCACAGGGACTGAGCACCTGGCTGCCCTTACAGACATTTTTGGGATGACGAGCTCGCTGGGTGACTTCCCACTGATGGGCCAAAGTCTGGATCTCCCACCGAGCTGCACAAAAGTTATTTTTGATGCTTCCACCCCACAGCTCCTGCTCAGGATTGATGCTGTACCTTCCCCACCGATCCCATTCATACCAGTGGTCAGCAATGAAGTTTTTCATCAAAGCCAAAAACGCTGCCGTTTCCCCCAATTAATGCTCTTAAAAAAAAATTTCCCTCCCTCCTTTGAAATGTTTGGAAATACAACTGATTCCCAGAGCCTGCAACAGAGGGAGAAACAATTGAGGACTGCCAACAATTATTTTCAACAAGCTAAAAACCAAGTGGGGTCAACCCAAATTTCCCCAGCACATTCCTGCTCATTCCCACCAACGTCTGTCCCGCTGCGCTGGAGCTCCAAGAACAAGACAAAAAGCAAACAAAGGGTTTGAAGCGTATAAAAAATAACTGTGATATTTTATAAGAAAAAAACCAAGCAGTTTACAAAGAAAGTATAGACAATAAGCCAGGAAATTTGGTGCTGGGATTAGACCGTGCTGGATCTACTTGAAAATCCAGAGAAAAAGGAGTTACACACGCTCATGGATGGAGTGAGGAAGTGGAAAACTTGCAGGATGCTGTGCCCAGGAACAGCAGTGCCTCGGGGCAGGGACTCTGGTGGATCAGGCTGTGGGATTGCTGCTGGGAATTCCCAGCCCTGCAGGGATTTCCCAGCTTTCCACAGCAGAACCATGGCAAGGTGGCTTCTGCTCCCAAGGGTGCTGTGCTTAATAAAAGCCAGGCTTTTTCCTGCTTTTCCAAAGGATTCTCACACCCTCTCCAGCCCAACCTACCACTGACTTATTACATCAAGGAGCCACACAGGTCCCAGGCACACAGACATTCCAAAAAAGCAACATTTCTGTGCCTTTGCCACGAGTTTTGGCCGTGAGTGTGGGTGAAAGGCCAGCCAGGTGTGTTAAATTTTAGGTGGTACAGCAGGAGCTGAGTCTACAAAGCCTTCAGTCAGCACTCTGGAAATGGAGATGTTTTTAATGAAGAGTTTAGGAACCTTTGTGTGGTTTCACAAGGAATGAGGACTAAAGGAGAACCTGAATTCAGCTGATCCCAAACAGGGTGCCCAGAGAAGCTGTGGCTGGCCCTGGATCCCTGCAAGTGCCAAGGCCCGGCTGGACGGGGCTTGGAGGTGTCCCTGCCATGGCAGGGGTGGAATGAGAGGGGCTTTGAGGTCCCTTCCAACCCAAACCATTCCCTGAGCTGTACCATCCTGCTCCCAGCCCTCACCTCTCCAGTACCTCTTGTGGAACACAGAGCAGGACACAACTGGAACTTGATGCAGGAAAAACAAACATTTTCTTCCCCAGCCAGCACAGATCACCTTCCACATGAGCCCAGTGTTCTTTTCCCTGATTTTACTGTGATCCAATCCCTGGGCTGTGCCCAGAATCCCACCTCACAGGTTGTCACCAGCTGAAATCCAGAGACAAACAGAGACAAAGCTGGGTCACACCCTGTGACTCTGTAGATTCCTCCCTTGTCAGAGGGAGGTGCCACACAAGATCTCAGGATACAGCAACAGCCAGGGAAGGGCTCGGGGCTGTCCAGCACTTCCAGCCAGGCTAAACAAGGAGATCAGAGAGATGGGAATTGGTTTCTCTGGGAAGAAACCAGGACTGGAAGGGTGCGTTAGGGTCAGGGTCATTCTGATATCCTGGGATAAACCCTGACACCATGACCTGATGTGAAGGATCTGAAGAGCTTTCCCTATGCTCCATGGAGCTGCTTGCTGGGAAGCCAGAGCACTTCCAGAGCTGTGTCTCCATCAGCTCACACCCCGAGGGAAGGTGCAGATACCTCGTTGCTTTTAGAGAGCGTTTATTGAGCGTGCAGGATCCACTCCAAACCCCATCCCGAGGGTGCAACTTCCACAGGGGCTCCACAGCAGTATCCTGCTCGCAGGCTGTGTGGCAGCATGCACAGGGAAAAGCGAGTACAGCATGCATGGCAAGGGGAGAACTCCCCCAAAATGACAGGAGTGTAGCCATTAATAAATGTAACATGGAATATTACAGAGATCCAAGTGTGACTGAAGGAAGTGTCTCTTTGGTGGAGTTTGCTAACAGAGAGAAAACCCCAGACAAACAATGAATATCCTTATTCCATCCTCAAATTTAGATCTCAAGGCTGGAGGCTGACTGACACCCCTGACAGCATCCCCAAGGGTGCTGAGGACTGTGCAGGAGTGCTGGAGGCTGAAATGGGACTCACCCTGAGGCACAGATCCGTGCTGTGCTGGACCTGCCGTCCCTAGGACGGAGATAAGGACATGTGGGACAGGGATAAAGCCTGGCTGCCAGCACAGCTGTGTCCCAGTGTGGATCCAGTGAGCCATATGGAGTTAGTTACACACACGAGGGCTGTGCTGATGCTCTTCCCCCTTCCCAGACCATTTTCCAGCACATGGAGAACCTCTGATTGCAAAGACAGAACTGACCTGGGCACTCGGCACTCCAAGGGATCCCAATGGAAAGAGCAGAGTGCCCCTGCTCTGCTTTGTCACCATCATTAAACACAGAGTAAAAAGTAAAAAGCAATTCCATGTGACTGAAATGCCCCACAGACCTTCCCATACACCCCCACATCCAGCCAGTGTATTCCAATCACATCCTTTGGAACAAACCTGCACTGTAATCCCAGATGGATTTCAGCTCTTAGAGACACCCATCCCCACGCTGTCCCCACAGGCCACCCCAGTGGAACAGGCTCAGTGGGGGCTGTCACACAAAACATGGGCTCAGTGACCCAGGGAGTGCCCTGAATCCATAGGTCCAACAGAGATCCTGCACAGGGTCAGGCTGAGTCCAGGAGTCCCAGGAGAGCGCCGACAGAGCCAAAGTAACCCTGAGGAGCAGATGGGAACAGGCAGTGAAAATCCACGGGCACACACCTGACACAGGAACAGCATCCTCAGAATCAAGGAATAGCTGGGCTTGGAAGGATCCATAAAGTTCATCCAGTGCCACCCCCTAGTTCCCACTATCCCAGGCTGCTCCAAACCCTGTCCAACCTGGCCTTGGACACTTGCAGGGATCCAGGGGCAGCCACAGCTTTTCTGGGAAATCCATTCCAGGGCCTCAATACCCTCAAAGGGAAAAAATTCCTTCCCAATATCCCACCTTCCCTGCTCTCTGGCAGTGGGAAGCCATTCTCTCTTGTCTGTCACTCCAGGCCCTTGGCCCAAGTCTCTCTCCAGCTCTACTGGAACTCCTTTAGGCACTGGAAAGTCTCCCTGGAGCCTTCCCTTCTCCAGGCTATTGCATACACAGTGTAATTTTAACAACATATAAAGGAGAGGGGAAAGATACAACTACAGGGAGGTACATTATAAAATAAAATACACAATACAATATAGCCGTGGCTGGAGCAGCAACACCCTGAGCACCTCCTGCACTGTGTGCACCCAACAGCTCCACATGGCTGTTTCCAGAGCACTCCAAGGACCTGCATTTTGGAAAAAGGAATTTTACCTCATGTTCCAAGAAAAGTGCTTTTAATTGTCCCTTTGACCAGTAGTCCAGGGCATAGGCCAGGAGCCTCATGGAGATGGTGTTGATCCGAAGGAAGTTGCCCACGAACACCACACGGTTGATGTTCTGCAAGCGTTAAGGGGGGGAAAAAAAGGAGTATCACGGATAAATTCTATTTTCTGCTTCCAATTATGAAAACCCCATGTGTGGAAGGGTCTGGAGCACCATGAGAGGCTGAGTGAGCTGGGAAAGGAGCTCAGCCTGGAGAAAAGGAGGCTCAGGGGACCCTTCTGGCTCTGCACAACTCCCTGACAGGAGGGGACAGCCAGGGGGGTCGGGCTCTGCTCCCAGGGAACAGGGACAGGAGGAGAGGGAACAGCTCAGGCTGGGCCAGGGGAGGTTTAGATTGGATATTTGGGAAAAATTCTTCTTGAAAGAGCTGTTCAGCCCTGGCACAGCTGCCCAGGCTGAGTTCCCATCCCAGGAGGGATTTAAAAGCCATGTGGATGTGGCACCTGGGGACATGGGTCAGTGTTGGCCTTGGCAGTGCTGGGGAATGGTTGGACTGGATGATCTTAAAGGACTTCTCCAACCTAAATGGCTCTGAAACTCTATGAATTAAGTTCCTGCTGAAACTGCCTGGCAGAATGTGCAGAACACCACACACAATTCCATCACAAAGCAGAACCAGGCCATTTTAAGCCACCCTCTTCCTCAGATTCTCCCAGAAATTCCCAGGCCAAACTACAGCCTCTCTAACTCAGGAATTTGGATAGAATAGCTGATTTTCCCACAAAATCCTTAGACTACCTGGAAACACTGCTCATCAAGTGCCACCTCCCCGTGCTCCCTCCCAGTTCTGGCCTCTGATTCATCATGAAATAGCTGAGTGACTCTACTGTTAAACTGGGGGAAAAAAATCTAATTAGGAGCCCATAACCAATACAATTTTTAAAGAAAGAAAAAGATCAACCAAGTAGTGATTATTTTGGATTTAAACCAGACCTCCAGCCTTACTTTTCCATCCCAAAATAGCTCTGATCCAAGCTCCGAAGCTTTCTTGTTCTCCAACATGAAAATAATTCAGTTCCTCCACTTTCTAGGGAATCAGGATCAAATCTTACCTGCTCCTGCACTCGTATTCTTCTATGGATTTTCCTTCCCTCCCCCCATTGACTAACACTTCCCCTGAACTACTCAGGATTCTCTTTTCATTCAGCTGAGCTCCAGAGCAAGGAATTAGCAGATATATTATGAGCAAGACTGTTTAGGACATGTCTTGGCTCATTTTGGCTGCAACAAAGAGAGAGCCAGAGGAGTCAGGAAAATGCTGGATTCCGTGGAAGCAGGCTCAGGATGGAGTGCAGAGCATGTCTCTGCTCTTTCATAGCCCTGTACAATGCTGCTTGACATGAATGCAACAAGGCAGCACTGTAAAGAAGCTGAAAGCACAAAGATGCAGCAACAGCCATGGCAGTGGTGGGGCTTGGCCAAGAAATCCAGAGCAACTCGGAAAAACAACACAGGAGAAGATATCCAGCCTCTAACCCTCTCCCTCCTTTCCTCCTCTCCTACTGTTCCCAAAGAAAGGCACACTCCTCAAGCAGGCAGCAGCACACTGGTGATGTTTTAGGCAGGGAGCAAGGGAAGAGATTCCCAAAATACCTCGTTAAGGGCACACATCCGCGCTATGGAGCCGATGTTGTTGGTGATGGTGATTAAAGTGGCCCTGGCCAGGTCCTCCTTGCTGACAGATTCCCTCTTCTCCTTGCTCATCATGTTTCCAAAGCTGTAAAAACAGTTTTGGGGTTAAAGGTCCCATCAGAATTCCAAGAGAAAATGGGAACTGCTAATTTAACCAAAGTGATTCATCTTGAAGGACTGATTTCTAACTTTAAAAAGCATTGTTATCCATAACAATAAGAATCTGGACTAGGATCTCTTAGGAATGGTTGATCTCCTAAGGCACCTAAATCCAGTTTTTCATCATTGCAGGATCTCCAGGGGAAACAAAACAAAAATGAGACCCAGGCAGGGCATTACCTGGATGCCACAGCCCAGCCTGGCAGCCCGAAGCGTTCATAGTCTCCTCCATAGATGTCCCTCACCAGTTTGTCCACCTTGGTGCTGTCCCCGTGGGATGCCATCTCCAGTGCCTCCTCAAACGTGGAGCAGCCCGTCAGAAGGCAGCAGAGGCCAAAGAAGGTTCCCCCTCCAAGGCTGCAAGTAAAGCAAAATGAAAATGAAGGCTCAGATTGTTCAGTTCTGTATCCCAGCTAGCTCAGGTCACCCCATTCCTGACTTCTTTTTTTAGGGAGAACCATCCTGGAAAGGCAGCATTTTCCTTAAAGTCTGTTCTTTCTCTCATAATGTCCAGCCTGTAAGGAATCCCTCACAGCCTTCTGCACAGGCCATGTTGTGAAATGAGACCTCATTTTTTTATGTTTCACTGTCCACTTTCTTCCCAGCATCCAGAGATGTTAATTATAAAATAAGTGTTAGTCCTGAGGGATAACTGGAGTGTCAGGGCAGAGAAATCCAGAAGTTGGGGGAAAAACCCTGTCTTCTTCACTTCACAGCACATACATGCCACTAATAATGTCTAGTAAGAATAAGAACTGTACTGAATTTAAAATTATTATTATTATCATTATTATTACTATTACCTTTCAGGGAATCCAGGGAAGCTTAATGCCACAGAACTCTATGCCTTTGCCAGGACACAAAAGCCACATCTTCAAGATGGGAAGCAACTGGGGAATTACTGCTATGCCATTATCCCTTCCACCAAAATCTGGCAACTTTTGGAAGTCAGGATGGAAATCTCGACTTCTTGGATCAAAGCTAAGAGTTGTTAACAATCCCAAACTATGTGATCTCATAAAATAAATAGATAAAGCCCTTGAATTCCTGCAGCAGAGCAACTGAAAAACCAGCTTTGGTGGAGACAGGCTGCAGTAAAGACACCAAACCATGAAATCCAGATCCTCTTTTCCAGGTGGGATCTCTGTTGGCAGGGAGTAACTGCAGTAAGAGCAGGAGCTTGGTCGTTCCCCTTACCACCTTTATTGTAGCTTATCCCTGAAAATGCCATTTACAAAGCAGGAATGTGCTCCAGACCCTAAAATCAAACTTCCTTTATGCACCAGCACTCACCTGGTGCCTGTTACCCGTTTATAGTTGTCTTTGGAATAGACAGCCAAAATGCTGACCCCTGAGCCGATGTTCACCAGGAGGAGAGGATAGGGATTCTCCAGGTTGAACGGGAGCTTCTGGCACCTCTCAGCATCCGTCGGGTTCTCAAAATAGTAACACTCGGAGTGTCCATTGAAGCCCACAGAATCGATGTACAGCACTCCTTTAACAAGGCAATCCAGCTCATCAAGCTTACAAAGCTCAAGGTCACCCATCTGGTGAGAAGGAAAAAAGAGGAATGTTGAAGAAGTAGCCAGGGATTTGAAGCATTTATGCTCAGGGCTGGAAAAATGCATTCAGCGCCAGCTCAATCCAGCTATGTCCATGCTCCCTGCAGAGGCTGAGGGAGAACAGGAGAGCACAGGGACTCCTGAGTACCACAGCCCTCAGGTGTGGAACAGGGGAGAACAACCTGGACCCACAGATGGACACAGAGAGAATTCCAGCAACTCCACAGGCCTGATTTAGGCCCTGATGCTGAGGCACTGGTGTGAAAAGCCAGGAGGAGGCACTTGCAGCGTTCGACCAAAATATTCCACAAAACCCATCCAAAGGAACATCAAGAAACAGCAAGGAAGTTATAAAATCATTTTCTCCTCATGTCACTGCCTTGACCACACAAAATTGGGTATTAGGAAAAAGTGAACACAAATGGATGTGTTTCCCATCTTAGTTTTAGAATCCTCATCCCTGGAGGGATTAAAAAGCCATGTGGATGTGGCACATGGGGACATGGGTCAGCGGTGGCCTTGGCAGTGCTGGGGGAACGGCTGGATTTGCTTCTCTTAGAGCGCTTTTCACCCTTCATGATTCTCTAAAAGCCCCTTTATTTGCATTTTTCCAAGCCCTGACTGAACAAATATTTATCACACTTTTTTCATCATGAACAAGGACCCCACTAGAATGAATCCCATGATGATGTCCAACCCCAGCTATGAACTTCCTGACAGTTACATTTACCACCAGACCTGCCTGAACCTCAGCCAGCTCATTCACACAGGCGTTAGAAATGAAACCAGGTGAGCAAAGGAAGAAAATAAAGCAGGAGAAAGACAGCAATGAGTAAAAAATAAACAAAAAACAAAAATGAGACTGAGATTAGCACAAGAAGGGATTAAAAATAGAGAGGAAGATTTGTAAGAAAGACCATTAGTGAACAATTTTAGAGTTACGTTGAAGGCAGGAATTGTTTTAATTTGGAGATGCCAACTTGACTCCACATGCCAAGTTTAACTGGAGTGAGGGACAGCATCAAAACGAAGATTTAGAGAAGTTTTAGAGTGTGCAGAGAAAGTTTTGCAGTTTTAAGCTTTCAAAGAAACGTCACTACCAGATCCTAATGGTATAGAAGCCAAAAATGCCTACTGTGCGAAAGTCCTGCTCAAATTTGTACGCTCCACCTCCCGTGGCACATAAGGTAGTATGGAGGCTTGAGAAGTGCTTTTCGCTTCCCATTTGGATAAAAGCAGGCATGTCATGAGTAGGAAAGCGTATAAAGTGCAGATTGCCTTTACGTCCACACAGGGTAAGGTCCTTGAGCTCAAGGTGCACATCCCGAATGCCTGTGGAGCCATAGGCTACGTTTGATGTCAGGTATTTGCGGATGCTTTTGAGGTTTTCCACTTCTTCCTCTTCCTCTTCGGCCGTGATGTCTTTGGGTTCAAAATAAACCAGTTTGACCAAGGTCCCTCCGATGTCCAAGCCAAACCAGGGAAAGACTGGAGAGAGAAGACAAAGAGAAAATGAGACAGAGTATGGCACAGCCATAGCACGAGCACCTTTCTCGTGGAAGGTGCCCCCACCCATGGGAGGAGGCTGGAACTTGATGGTCTTTAAGGTCCCTTCCCACCCACACCATCCTGTGATTCTGTGAAAACAGTTTTCATTAAATTAATTAATGCAGTTCTTTAGGGACCCATGTGATCTCTCCATTTTCAGGAATGCTATCTTCAGCAAGACACTCCTCCAACATGAGCACAGCTCCTGTTCAGAGATCACTCATGCTCAGGAGCTCTGAATATTTGCTGTACAACACTCCAACACCGACATCCCTCCCCACAGGTCTGACAGCTTCCATAGCCCTGCCAGATCCTGTTGCAGGTTTAATCCCCAGCTATTCCTTTTCCCAAGTTCTGAACCAGAGCCAGAGCCACAGATAACACCAGTGCTTTTACATCAAAGGGATGTGCAAACGTTCCCTAATTACAACACAGAGCTGAGGTAGACAAGTAATCTAAGATGCCGCAGGGAGACAAAAACAAATGTCTAATTGGATTATTTTATTAGTCAAATTCCCCCATGGTACAAAATATGCATCAGTGTCAGGCCCAGCAACATTTACAGCTGTGTTAGATAATGAGCTTCTTGGAAAAGATCAAGAGAAACCCCTGATCTGATGGAATCTGCGATTAGAGCAGGGAACTGGAACAGATTAATATCACTATTAATAAGCTAAAGGAGAGGCTGGAGCTAACGAAATGCACAGGCTCCAGAGCAAAGGGAAAAATGTAGCCACATGTTAGGGCTTAAGGGAGCAGGATTCAACCCTTATGATAGCTTCCAGAAGGAAAAAAGGAACTTTTAGAAAATAAACCTGAATAATGGAATCATAAATGTAGGGAAAGACCTCCACAATCCCAACCTATCACCCAGCACTGCCAAGGCCACCTCTGACTCATGTCCCCAAGTGCCACATCCACATGGCTTTTAAATCCCTCCTGGGATGGGGATTCCAGCCCTGCCCTGGGAATCTGGGCAGCTGTGCCAGTTCTTCCCTCTTCTGGGAAAGAAACCTTCCCTAATATCCAATCTAAACCTCCCCTGGCCCAGCCTGAGGCCATTCCCTCTTCTCCTGTCCCTGTTCCCTGGGAGCAGAGCCCGACCCCCCCGGCTGTCCCCTCCTGGCAGGGAGTTGTGAAGAGCCAGAAGGGCCCCCTGAACCTCCTTTTCTCCAGGCTGAGCCCCTTTCCCAGCTCCCTCAGCAGCTCCTGGGGCTCCAGACCCTTCCCCAGCTCTGTTCCCTTCTCTGGACACACTCCAGCATAGATGTTACCAATGTTCCTCCGGAAAACAGGATCTTGGGTTTTAGTAAAATGCCTTATCTGCGAACAGATAAGGGTGGAACATGGAGAAGCCTTCATTCCTCTCCCTTTGGATCAAGAATCCCTTATGCCAGGCTCTTCAGGGGACAACCTTTGCACAGGCAGCAGCCTGACAAGTTGGAGGACACATTCTCTCCTAGGCAGATTTATCTGGTAACTGTACAGGCCCTTCCAGAGCTTTCCAGCTCCCAGGAGCTGCTGGCACTGGCAGCTCCCCACAGTATTTTTAATCCAGCAAGTTATTTTTATGTATTTCCATAGAGGCCACCCCCAACCATCACCAAAGGAAATCTTGAAAGAAGATGCAAGCTCTATTTTCAGAGACACATCCAAACCCCAATCACTCTCCATTTCGGAGACATTTACTTCAAAGAAGAACAGACACAAAAATAGCTTTTCATGAATGAAAGGGAAAGGAATCTGAAGGGCATCCCAACAGAGGGAGGGAGCAGGAACAATCCAAGGACTTTTACACAGGCAGATAGTGTAAAGACAAAGGGGAAAGGTTTTAAACTAAAAGGAGACATTTACATATTAGGAAGAAATTCTCCCTTTGAGGGTGGGGATGCCCTGGCACAGCGTGCCCAGAAAATCTGGGGCTGCCCCTGGATCCCTGCAAGTGTCCAAGGCCAGGCTGAATTGGGCTTGGAGCACCCTGGGATAGTGGGAGGTATCCCTGTGTCCAAGGCAGGGGGACTGGAAACAGATGGTCTTTAAGGTCCCCTCCCACCCAAAGCATTCCATGATTCTATGATTTCTGGAACGCATTTGTTCCTGTCAGAACACATCACTTGATTTCAGCATTCTGAAGTCCACTGGGCTTTTTTTTTAAAGCACTTCCACCACAGCATTCAGACAACAATCTTCCCCCAAACTCCCTCTGCCAGGCTACACAGGAGTAAAAACGGGGAGAGAGCAGAGGCTGGGGACTCGGAGATGGGCTCACTGATGTGCAGCAGGAAAGGCAAACATCCAAAACCACAGTGCTCTGAAGCCACATGCCTGGAAATGCCACAGGGACTGCTTCATCACAGGCTAACAGGCTCCCACTTCCCAGCACTCAGCTGGTAGCACATGCACAGCTTCAGTAAAATAACATATTTGTTTTAAAGTCGGTAGTGAAGCTCACAAACTCCTACACTCAGCGACACAAACCTTCCAGATTTCAGGGCAAACACAACTGGGTCCATCAGTTTAGGCAGCTTTCCTGGTCACAAAAAAAAAAAAAAAGAGCAGTTCCTTGGAAATTTCATCCCAGACCCAGTACCATCAAGACCTTTGACTTTTGGACAGAACATTAAGCATGGAGTTAAACCGCACCAGTTATCCACTATCAGGAACAGGGAAACGGGAATGATGCCAGCAGGGCTGGGAGCAACTGCAGCCAGGCTGGGCTCAGGGGTCACTATCTCCACTCAACACTGGCCCTAAAAAGAAAATCCAAGCCCCTGAGGTGGGACACAACTTCTGACCAGAACTGGCTCACAGCTCCCTGCAGCACCGGCTGGAAAAGCTCTGCACGGAGCAGCTGGTGTTCTCCATCTGCCAGCAGCTCAGCTGTACCTTCCCTAAGCCACCAGGGATAAATTAAAAAAGACAGCCTATTAAGGTAATTAACTTACCCCAAATGATTGTTAATTATGGATCCCTCATTATATACATCCCAGCCACAGGTTAAGAATCCAAGGAAGAAGTGTGTGAGCTCAAAATTAAGTACTTCTTTCCCAAGGTGCAAAGGATTCCCTACGCAGTAACACCTGTTGGAGAACTCAATCCATTACACAGACAAAACTTCCTTATAAACCCTTTTTTGTAGGAAAGGGGAATGGCACACAAACAAGAGGAGGAAATTATTCCAAGGACATGAAGAACTGGGGATTTTTTCCTGACACTTACAGCGAGTCATCCAACAGGAACATGCTGGGCAGTGACAGCTCTTCCATGTCTGAGAACTAGAAAAATCCAAGGCAGGGAGGAGGAAGCTCTCCTGGATCAATGCCATCACCATCTGCCATCAAGATTTCTCCTGAAACATTGATTTATTTTTTTTTTCCCAGCAGATGAAACCCATCCAGAGATTTCTCCCTTTTAAGCCTCTGAAGCAATTTTTCCAAGAGAGCTGCTGCAGATCTCGAGGAACAGCAGGAGAACTGCTGGCATCCAGGAGCCCTCTGGGCATCCCTGAGGCTGATTTTACTCAGTCAGAAGGTTCTGCTGGAATAACCAGACACCAGTATCAAGGGCCAGGGCAGGAAATGCAAATGCTGCCCCTCATCACCTCCTCCCTGCTGCTGCTTGGAGCTCTCTGTGAGGGAAGAGCATCGCACGTCTCCTTTCCAAGCGCTCACCAGCCGCAGAACAACAGGAAGGATGGCAAATCCCAAGGCTGGCACAGGAAGCACATCACTGTACGGACCTCTGGGCTCTCCTCCTGCCCAGCACCTTCTGGGAAGTGTTTAGTTGTTCCTTGGGTGTTTGGGCATTTCCAAGAAAGGTAGGAAATCCTCTGCTCTCAGCTCCAAACCTCCCGCAATCAAAACTCTGTTGGTTTTTTTAGAGGATGAGAGCCATGAATCCCATTCTCATAGGCAGAGAAGCTGTGGCTGCTTCATCCCTGGAAGTGTCCAAGGTCAGGTTGGAGCAACTTGTACTAATGGAAGGTGTCCCTGCCCACAGCAGGGGATGGAATGAGATGGTCTTGAAGGTCCCTCCCAACCCAAACCATTGGCCCGGCGAACTTCTGCTTTCCTTGAGCAATTTCAAAAGCAGCTCTCTCTATATATATTTTCATATAAACAGTTCTTTGTCTTAAAAACAAACCTTCTACTCAGGGGCAGATCTATGGATATGCAGCAACAACAAAAGACTGGTCTGCCAACGAAGTTAAAGGCTCACAGCTCTGACTAAATAATCCCACAAAAGCTCCAGAACGCTTCATGTGCCCACAGCAAGAGCTGACACCCTCCCTTCAAATTCCTTTTGCAGCCAGACTGTAAGATCTTCAGGGCAATAAAAAGAAATTGCCTTTATCTGATATGTAAATTACTTCATAAAACTGGACACTGTGTAAATAAAAAAGACCTCTAACAGACTTATTCTGGAAGTTGCAGAACTGTCAAGATGAAAGAGGTGATATAATTAAAGATCTCCACGGTGAATTTTCATCACTAAACAAGCAGCTCGAGTTGTATTTCAGAGTGATCCTTAACTTCTGAGCCAATTATATCAGGAGCTAATAAGATTAGTCTGATGATTTAGTTCAGTGTGTGACAGCACCTCTAGGCTTACTCTGAAATATTCAATATTATATTTTAATAGTGTTACACCATGCTGGAAATTTTACAGCTGAGAAAAAAATACAATTCATTAGCATTTAATATAAAGTGACACTAAGTCTACATCTCCTCCCATCCCTAAAAAGAGGCTCTGATAGGAATTCATATTTCATACACCACTCCAAAGCAGAAAAAGATACTTAAACATCAAAGCTTAAATTTTGTACTACCAAAGAGGTGACAAAACAGCATTTTATTTTTCCCTTTTATTGGATACTTTGTAAATTGAAAATTTAAAGTCATATGTCCATTATGTCTTTGCATGATCCTGATAGAAGATACTAAAACTTTAAAAAAAACCAAATCAGTTGAAGAGAAAGAATATTTTCTCACAGAACAAGCAAGAGAAGGGCAAAGCACATTTTGCTCACCATAGAAATAACCTAAATTCATCTCTGTTGAATATCCCAAGATTGCAGGATGAGAATGGAAAAAGTGAAGGAAGGGGAAAAGGGGTAAAGCTGATGAACTGAAATGCTGATCTCTTTCTCTTATTAAAAAGATCCATTAAAAAAACATTCCCCTGCTCACTATGACCACCATCAGGTTTCTGCCTGGCACTTCACCCCACCCACAGCCACAGTTCCCTTTTGAACCATAATGGGAATATCCTCACTGCTCACCTGGAGTCTTCCCAGTCCAATTTTTAGGTATGGATTTCAATAATGGCACTGATAATTCAGTACCAGAAGGGAATTTTTCTGTATTGTTTCTGGAACTGATAAAGTTTTTGTGTATGATGTGTCTGCCTGCACTAAACCCTGTCAGACTCTCTTTCCCAATGTAACACTCCAAAGCTTCAACAAATCTCCACTTCATGTTTTCAGGGACACTTCTCAGTCCCTTCTGAGAGCAACAGTGTCCTTGACTTCTCCCTCTTCTGCCAGGGGGCATGCAGAAAATCCCAGCGTCTGCAGGAAAGCCCCTCAAGTGCACCAAGAAACATTTCACAGAATCATTCAGGGTGGAAGAGACCTCCAGGATCAATTCCAACTGTTAACAGAGCACTGCCATCTTCACCCTTAATCCATGTCCCCAAGCCATCACCTCCACACGACTTTCCAACAGGGAATTTAAATTTCCAGGGAATTTAAAAACCCAAGGTGCATGAAGGCACACAGCAGACGTACTGGGTGCACTGTTTATTTCACACCTATCCCAAATCCAGTCTTCTTCCCTGCTCTCTGCAGTGACTGTACATTACGGGCTCAGAGGGCCAAGAATCACAAGTCTGCTGAAATCCTTTCATTCCTGGGGAAGCGGGGCTCATCTGCCAGGGCATCTGCCAGCACAGGCAGGCAAGACAAGCCTCAAGGTCACCCAGCTCGTTTGCCACATGCCAGCAGCAGACAAGTGGGAGCTAAAGTAGGACATTTTTGATCCCACGCCTATTAAGTGCTTTTCTTTCATTTCGGTTTGAGTCTTCCTTAAGGTGGGATGGAGTGTTTTAACTCCAAAACATGATGGATTGTGACATCAGGCATTGTCCCTGCTAAGGGATGCCCTTGCAGCATCACACTTCTCTTCCACTTAGCACAAGAATAATTCAGGAAAGTCAGACTAAATCGTAATCGCGAATCCCTCCACGCTGACCTTCCAGATTCGCTACAAACCCTTTCTTGGAAGCTTCCAGAACATCTGTTTTCCATAAAGTATCCCATGCCACTCTCAGCACCCAACTTTAAACCACATTTTCCAGAGAAGACACAGAAACTGCCCTGAGCAAGACAGGGGAGAATCATCACCTAACACAGAGCTCCGAGTCCTCCCTCATTTTCATACCAGAGATCTCCTTCATGTCCCTGCAGCCTTTTAACAGGTCTCTAATTAACAGCCTCACAGATCTCCATTCCTATTTTTCACACTAAGGGCAGAAGAGAACCTGCACCAGCACCCAAAAACAAGAGCAGGAACACTCTTAAAATTTCCCATAAATATGGTAACAACAGTGTCTCAGCACTGCCAGTCACAGCTGAGGTGCAGCAGAATTCTGATCCCTGTTTTCAGCCCAGAATCCTTGCTTGCATATTTTCAATAGCTGTGCAGATACCAAGGAATTACACCGAGGCTGTTTAATTTTCAGGGTATGGCAATTTCCTTCCAGGAGGAAGGACTCCGGCAGAAGTCAAGAAATGATCTCTCAGTTATTCCTCAAATATGGCTGAAGTCAGGGACAGCCACAGCACCTGCACAGCAGCTCCTGCTGCTCCCAAAATGAAGGCTGCCATCCATTTTGCTGTTTCCAGTAGGACATTTACAAACGTGGTTCTAGGGATTTTTTTTTTCTCTTAGAAAGCCTGGTTTGATCTCTGCCTAGCTCCTGCCAAACCTGTCAGGTTCTTCTCTCCCAATATTTAAACTAGTCCCTTTGCTCTCTATTTCTTTGCTTTCACAGTTACCAGTTCAGCCCCACAACCTCAAACACTGGTCCTTCCATCTGTCCTGCTGTGCCCTTTTCCTCACCCTGTCACCAAGTGCCTTCCCTTCCTTCCCAGCTAAGGTCCCCAATTTGGGAACCTCAGCATCTGCCACAGCCCAATCCCACGTCCTGCCCCACCAGGCAGGTGTCGCCTTACCCTAAACCTCCTAGAGCTCCTGGAGCTCAGCTTGTCCCATCCTTCAGCCCAACCAGCTGAGCCCATGTCACAGACCCACCGTGTCCCCACCGTGCTGTCCCCAAACTAGCCGTGCTGTGCCCGTGCCATCACCCCACAGTGCTGTTCCCAAGTTGGCCATGCTGGACAACCATCACCCCACCGTGTCCCCGCCGTGCTGTCCCCACACTGCCCATGCCGTGTCCATCTCACGGCCCCCCGCGCTGTCCCAGTGTCCCCGTCCCTCCCCGTGCTCCCCCATGTCGCCCCCCGGCCCCACCTCCCCAGACCACGCCCCTGCAGCCCCACCCACCGCAGCCCCGCCCTCGCGCTCATTACCATAAGCCCCGCCCCTCCCCATCCTCTGAGCCCCCCCGCTTCTCTCCCCCCTCCCGCTGCCGTTCCCGCTCCCCCGCACTCACGCGGGCGGTTCTTGCGGACCGAGTCCCGCCGCTGCCGGCTCACGGACCCGCCGCGTTCACGGGGCTGCGGGCCCGCCGCGCTGTCCGCGCCCGCCGCACCGCCGCTGCTCCGCCGCCGCAGCTGGGAGGGCCCGGCGTCCACACCGCCGCCCCGCCGCCGCGGCTTCTTCTCGTCCTCCGCGCCATCGCCACAGCTGCGCGGCGGCTCCATCGGCAGCGCGGCCCGGCCCCATGGGCCGCCCGGCCCCGCTCCGGCCCCGCTCAGCCGCCACCGCCGCAGCCACCGCCCCCGGCGCGCCTGCGCCGCACGGCCCCGCGGGGCGGGACACCCTGTGAGGCGGCCGCCAATCCGCGCCCCCCGCGGCGCGGAGCGACAGCAGGATGCGCCAATGGGAGACCAGTATTGCGCGGTAGCGGAGAGCCGGGCCCGCCTCCTGCTCTCGGCCGCGTAGAGTGACAAGCTGCCCAATCGGAAGCGTGCGCCCGGGTGAGGCGGGCCGATATGCGGCAGCGCTGGCCTATGGGCTTCCTCTGGAGCGAGATTGACAAGACGACGGCCCAGTGACCGAGAGAGTTGTCCGGGTGGGGCGGGAGAGGGGCGCGGTGATTGACAGCTGGGTAACTATGGCAACGCGGGGGGCCGAAGGGAAGATCCGCAGTAGGCTCGGCTGGGCCGGACCGCGCGGAGGGCCTCATTTGAATATGATTTGCATATTCAGATACTGTGCATAGAGACGTGGGGCGGGTCTGCCACGCACCATGGCGAGCCTGAACGCACCTTACAGAGCATCTCGTTCCACCCCGTCCACTATCCCAGGCTGCTCCAAGCCCCGTCCAACCTGGCCTTGGACACTTCCCGAGATCCAGGGGCTTCTCCAGGTATTCTGTGCCAGGGCCTCACTATCCTCACGAGGAAGAACTTCCTCCTAAAATCTTAAAATCCTCAGCTCTCCTTTACATCCTAACATAATTCTAGTGTGGATACAACCCTGTTCTTGAAACCCTGACGCCACGTTTATCAACAAGCGCAGCAGGAAACGCCAAGTTGGCAGAAAAATTGAGGCAACCATAAAGAGGTTGAGGCAACAACCAACAGGATGAAAATTCAAAAGGAAAACACGGATTCACAGACTACAGGATGCCATGACAGCTCCCGTTGTAACATAATGGAGATTCCCTTGTGGAATATTGTTGTCTGACACACCCAGAGTACACCAAGCGTAGAACTGCAGCCCAGTGACCCAGGGTGTTCCTCACCTGCCCCGGGGTAATCCCAGCTCACCACAATCCTCAGACATTAATTCGATACCTGAAGGATCAGCAATCAACATTCCACAAAGGTGTGATAATTTCCATGAATATTTGCTGAATTCTGGTTGCTGGAGTGAAAAGGGACAAAGGGATCAGTCAAATTTAGTTGGTGTATTTTAATATCCTGTTGGGTGAGTGGGGGAAGTGGATAAATGGGGTTGGCAGTGACGGGAGATAAAGGATGAGCTCTGAACACAAATAATCCCCTTCAGATAAGCATTTCTTTCATTTGGGTAAAAAAGGAACTCACTGAGCTGCTCGATGTTCTTTGAGTATTTTCAACCCCTGCTGTGTTTGACACACCTGGGCTCTAACAGCTGGAGCTGGGAAAGCAGAAAGTGAGGGAAACTCGTGGGGGATCTCAGCTGTTGGGACAGAGCAGAGCATGGAGAGGGCACAGGAAAGGGCTGTTCCCTCCCAAAAGCTTCCTGCTTGTCCCCAAAAGGCACACAGAGGGGTGAGCAGTGGTTTAAGGGTGTTGGTGCCTCTGTTCTGCTGGTCAGGGCACAAGAAAAGAAACCTAGGGAGCAGCCACCTCCAGATCTGAGCCCAGAGGCTAAGGTGGCCCAGCATGGGGAAGGTGCCCCTTTTCTGGGCAGGATCCCAGGACAGAATTTAACCAGAAAACCTGGATAATGAATAAAGCTGCATCTGTGGTGGGTACCAAGCTCAGCACACATCTGTGCCCTGTGTCCACCTGGTTACATCCAGTCCCAAGGGTCCTTCCAGCCACAGCTCTTTGTGGCTCTGTTACAGCCTCCAAGTTTGGAAAATTTTGCAGATGCTTAGCGCATTTCTTCTCCCAGAACTTGTCCAGTTTCTCTTTGGTAACAACATCCAGACTTGTGCAGCTCAGCTGTTTGGTGCCTTGGGAACCACCTTCCCTGTTTTCATCCTGGGCATCCCACCAGCAACAGGAAGACCTGCCAGGTTCCTCAGAACCAGGTCCTGTGCTTGCTCCAAAAGGTCTGGAAGCTGTCCCTCAACCCTGTCACCCTTTCCTGGCACCGATTGCCTCAGTCTCTCAGTGTCACTGCCAACAGAGCCCTTCAGAGCATTCCCTCCAGCCACAGCATCATCAACCTCCCACTCTTCGTCCCACAAATCACAACAAGTCAAGTGTGAAGCATCAAACTGATTTATTATAGTTAGTAAAAGGCTTTTTAGCCTGTTAGTAAAAGATGTGCAGCTCCCTGCTGCACCATCTCCTGCCAATGAGGCTTTAAAGTGCTACGTATCAACTGTGAAAATCCCGGCACGTCACAGCAGCAATCTGAACGTGTGCTTTCCCCAGTCTGAGGTGGTGACAAACCAGCTGTTTCACAAGAGAAATCTGACATGAAAAGGCAAAGCGCACAAGCTGTTGCTTAAATATATGGAAAAACATGGGAAGAATTTCACAGGCAAGTAAAGCATCAGAGAAGAGGGCCTTGGTATGGATGCGGCTGGTTTAGGATCTCCCCTGAATTACAGAAAGTGCAGAGAAAGCAAGTCCCTTCCTGTCCCTCGTGTTAGGGAGTGATAACCATTTTATCTTTAATGGGAAGAGCAGCCCCCACATTCCCTCTCCTGGCAGAGGGGGCTGAGTGTGTTTAAAGGACTGTCCCTTCTTCCTTCAGCACCATGCAAGGAATAAACACCTCAAGCTCTTCTGGAAGGCAGCCCTGACACACCAAAATCAACACCTCCCTCCTGCATATATCGGTTTTTCTTAGTTTTATGGAGGCACTTCTTGGATTTTTGGGCAGAAGGAAAGTATTGGGAGGGAGGAGCAGCCATGCAGGGCTGATGGACCTTTCCCACCACAGGCCAAGCTCTGGGTGTGATGGCTGCACTTTGCCCCAGATGCCTGAGAAGGCTGAGCTCCCTCCTGCTCCCTGCCAGCAGGAAGAGCAGATTTTGGGAAGCTGTGCTGATGGCAGGAATTCAGGATTAACAAGTTACTGGACACAGAGGGATGAGGGAAATTATTCTGCTCTTTTGCTCTGCTCAGGTGAGACCCAACCTGCAGTGCCGTGTCCAGCTCTGCAGCCCCAACGTAAGGAGGATGTGGAGCTGCTGGAGTGAGAAATTCTGAGGGTTGAAACTCTCCTGGCTCTCCTCTGGAGCTAGGATGAGTGAGTTGGGAGTGCTCAGCCTGGAGAAGACTCTGACGAGACCTTCCAGCAGCCTCCAGTATCTAAATGGGCTCCAAGAGAGCTTCAGGGACTTTGGGCAACAACCTGGAGTAACAGCACATAGGGGAATGGCTTCCCACTGTCAGAGGGCAGGGATAGATGGAATACTGGGAAGAAATTCCTCCCTGTGAGGGTGGTGAAACACTGACATAGGTTTCCCAGAGAAGCTGTAACTGCCCCATCCCTGGAAGAGTTAAGGCCAGTTGGATGGGGCTTGGAGCAACCTGGAGCAATGTAACTACTCCAGGCTGTTTCTTCTTCACTGCTTTACTGCATTTTAGAATCACAGAATGGTTTGGGTTGGAAGGGCCATTAACAAGCATCTCATCCCAGCCCTCTGCCACAAGACCAGTTTGTTCCAAGCCCTTTAGACACTGGAAGGTGCTACAAGGTCTCCCCACAGCCCAGAGCATCTCAGACTCTGGTATGGCCTCCCTGCAGGGTGCAGTTGATCCTGTTTGTGTCCCAGCCTGGGCAGAAGGTTCCTATACCCCTATCCCATAGCATCAGGTATCAGGAAGGGCAAGAACTCCAGCTACCCTTCCAACCAAGATGCAAAAATCCAGCCTCAAATTCAAAGACACCCAATAACCTTTTGTGGGACCAAGTCTGCTTAAAGTTGGCAATACCTGAAACATTCCTCTTAAATCAGAAACCCCTTTTCCTGCCTGAACAGAGTGAAATGAGGCTGATCCTTGATAACGCTGGTATGATGCAGCTCTTTCCTGACCCTCATGTTTATCCCCAGGATCAGTACTACATGAAGCAATTCCAGAAGGAGGAGGAGAGCCAGAGACACCAAGTAAGGCAAACTGAACATGAGACATCCAGTGGAGGCTGCTGCACCCATCCTTGGGCACATTTTCAAGCCAAGATGAGCAGAGCCAAGAAAATCAGCTCTGCTGTCACAGGATATCTGCACAACCTCTCCTGGCTGCACTGCACAAAGGGACCTGGAGGTCACCCTTTGGATCACCAGGATATGTTTCCCTGAGGCCTCCTGGGACCAAACAAGGAAGACATGGAGAATCACCATGAGTGCTTTGCTTTTTGACTCAGTGGATCACTCACATTTTGGTGTGAGATCCTCTCCTCCGGGAGTGTAGAAAGAGAAAGCTACAGCCAAGAAGATGGTTGAGAAATGGGAGGGAACAGACCCAAACCCAACAGCATCATGTACCAAGGCCTCTTCCAGCAGAACCTTCCAGAAAAAGATTTAACAATGCCCCTACTGCCCCCTGCTACTCTTCAGGTTTCAAATGCGTTGACCAAAATCCTGTTGCCAGAGAAATCCCCCCGGCTGCGTCACGGTCATGGTGTCCCATCCGCTATTTCCGCAGCCGAGCGTACACCGCGAACGCCACGGCAGAAATGACGCCGACAGCTGGAAGGATGTACAGCAGGGACAAGCCACTGCTGTCCCTCTTTGCGACTCTGGCCGGAGGTGATCTGGTGGCAGGGTCATGGCCACTGCCAGAATTGAAATTCACGGAGCTTCCAAGGGGACTGACTCCGTCGCTGCCAGCTCCAAGCTGGACGCTGGGGTGATGATCCACACGGACCTTGTGGGTACCCATGGAGGTGCTGTCCCAGCTCGGAGCAGGACTGGAGTCTCTGCTTGCTCCAGACACCTCCTTTTCTCTGGGGTCTGCATGAACTGAGGAGACCCTTGGGAATGCTCCCCCTGAGCTCATGCTATCCCTGCTCATCAGGATTGGGTCGCTGCTGAGGCCAAGGCTACTGGAGGTGGTGGAACAGGGCTTGCTGGGCTCCTGAGAGCTCAGGCACCTGCTGGCCACCTCTGGGCTGCCCTGAGGCACGGACACGAGGACGCCCGGCTTGCCGAGCTCCTCTTCCTCCTCCTCATCACGATGAGACGCCCAGATGCTCGTGGCAGAGCTCACCCGGGGAGCCGATCTCCCAGCCAGGCCTTCGGAGCCTCCTACCAAAGCTGTGCCCAGGAAAGGGTTTGCCAAGGCCGGGAGCACCTTTAGGAGACAAGGAGAGGGGCTGGGTGTCAAGGGAAGCACCCAATGGCCTGGGGCACACAGGTCTCACACAAACCCATTTTGACACAGTCCCCACATCTGCTGCTAACAAGGCTGGGTCACAGGTAACAGGGAGGTGAAGGAGGGAGGCAAGGAGGAAGGCAGGCAGGGATGAAGGGGAGCCAGGCAGTGAGGAGAGCAGTGGAAAACAGCACCTGGAAGCCAGGAGACTGACTGGCAAGGTAAGGTGGGGAAATAAGGAGTCAAGGCCCAAGAGAGCTCGGCTCCCTTCCCCCATGCTCCATCATACAGCGTGAGGATGGTAACATGAAAACCACAGAGTCAGAAAAAAAATCCCTGAATAAACTCATCACCAGCTCACAGTGTGACACTGCAACAGAAAAGCTCCTAACCAGGGGGAGTGCACAAGGACAGGAACGAAATGCAAGTGGCAAGAGGAAAGGTCACCTACTTTCTCCTTTGCTGGCACAGAGGGGCTGCTGCTGGCTGTATTCCCAAACGACAGTTTCTTCTCTTGCGTAAGAGACTTGACAGAGGTGTCACGGGATGGGAAAATGTCTCTGGGCACAGGGGTAGCACCCAGGGTAGTTGTTTCCATCAAAGCACCTGTCAGGGAGAAAACAAAACATGTTGTGTTAACCAGGGGGCCTAAAACATGAGATTTGCTCTTCCTCAAGGAAGCTGTGACAGAACAGTTCCCACCCAAGCTGAAGGGGTGGCAGAGGGAGCAGGATCCAGTGCCCTGGCTCTAGCTCTGCTGAGGCACCAGAGCTTTCCCTGCAGCTGCAAGTAACTCACGCAGGGTGGGCTGCAGGGCTGGGGAGCACCAAGGGA